ATGTTCCAGGTATGTTGCTGTGTGGGTTTTACAGTCTAAATTCTGTGTGCGCTACATATACAACAGCTGCGTGGTGTAAATTATATCTAAAGTAATGTTCCAGCTGTGTTGCTGTGTGAATTTTACTATCACAGTTGTGTGTGCGTTATGCTACAGCTGCGTGGTGTCAAGTATATTTAAAGTAATGTTCCAGGTATGTTGCTGTGTGGGTTTTACAGTCACAGTTGTATATGCTCTATACTACAGCTGCGTGGTGTCAAGTATATTTAAAGTAATGTTCCAGGTATGTTGCTGTGTGGGGTTTTTACAGTCACAGTTGTATATGCTCTATACTACAGCTGCGTGGTGTCAAGTATATCTAAAGTAATGTTCCAGCTGTGTTGCTGTGTGAATTTTACAGTCACAGTTGTGTGTGCGTTATGCTACAGCTGCGTGGTGTCAAGTATATTTAAAGTCATGTTCCAGCTATGTTGCTGTGTGGGTTTTACAGTCACAGTTGTATATGCTCTATGCTACAGCTGCGTGGTGTCAAGTATATTTAAAGTAATGTTCCAGCTATGTTGCTGTGTGGGTTTTACAGTCACAGTTGTGTGTGCGTTATGCTACAGCTGCGTGGTGTCAAGTATATTTAAAGTAATGTTCCAGCTATGTTGCTGTGTGGGTTTTACAGTCACAGTTGTATATGCTCTATACTACAGCTGCGTGGTGTCAAGTATATTTAAAGTCATGTTCCAGGTATGTTGCTGTGTGGGTTTTACAGTCACAGTTGTATATGCTCTATACTACAGCTGCGTGGTGTCAAGTATATTTAAAGTCATGTTCCAGGTATGTTGCTGTGTGGGTTTTACAGTCACAGTTGTATATGCTCTATACTACAGCTGCGTGGTGTCAAGTATATCTAAAGTAATGTTCCAGCTATGTTGCTGTGTGGGTTTTACAGTCACAGTTTTGTGTGCGCTATACAATTACAACTGTGTAATGTTACAATCAAGTTTTTTAGATTCTGTATTGTACTTAGTTTGTGTTCTTTGGGATTTATTTTCTGATTATGCTGTTTTATGCCCCACCAATGTCCTTCATGTGTAACGTTGTATTACAGTACCATCTTTAAGATGTGTGGTGTATGTTCATCCTATAAGGTTTATGATTTAGCTAAATGATTTTGTGTTCGAACTATGGACGGTTTAGTTGTAGTTTGATTATGTTATGTGTCAGCTTTCTTAGCATGAACTACATATTATATATGTTCATCGGTATACTGAGGCAAGACTAAAATAGTCATGTTCATAATAACATGTCTGTGAGCAATGAAATGTATTAAACATCCCACAACCGCGAAATAGCACAAAATTATGCATTAGCAATTTTTTTTCAAAATAGGAAAGGCATAGAATATTATGTTCGCCAGAACGAGAGACGCATTGATGTAAAATGTGTCGTTTTGTATAAAACATGAAAATAATAACATGATTTACATTTCTTTCAGCAGTAACTATTAAAATACTACACTGATACGCTCAGTAAATAACCTCACATGATTACATTTCACGACCTTAAAGATAAGTCATTAGTTATTGTTACGTCACAAAACGAATCGATGGATTGTTAACTGCCAAACTAGCTCTAACTACAGACAATGTAACAGGAAAAGTCTTACCAATTTGAGGATTTTATTCCTTCTACCTAAATCCTACAGTTCAGAATTCGTATCCAACACACATTTCTAGAATTCTATCTTTCTTTCACACTTTTAATAGGAAGCATCCCGCAATACGCTAGAAATGGCGGATTCTACTGAACATCCACTATGCCTGCTAACACACAGAAGAAGGAAGTGAGCATGCGCGTGCCATGAAATGACAGCTGAGACCGACAAGATTATAGCCGCTTACACGGTTACCATAGAAATGATCCAGAGCAGAGTAAGTAGCATGTAGGGTTGTAGATGTTTTCCTCCGTGTGAAAATATTCAGTCAAAAGCAACAGCATCAGTCAATTAGACCGGCTCTTGTAAACGTGATTATGATAAAACAAATAAGACCACTGTAAAGAATTATCATGCATAGTTAACTTTAAGAATGTAATTATATCGGGGAGATGATACTGATTAGCCAGTACATTACAATAGGATTCCTCCTTTCATTTGTAGAGTATCTTATTTACTTGCATATACCAAAAAAAGATGTTTTCAAGCATGGTAATCTGCATGTAGAACAAGTATATTTATAACTTTCAAACGAGCATGATAATGAGTAAATGTTTGGAAATGATCAAAATATGTGTTTTTCTATCAAATCACCAGTGAATTATCAAACAACCGTAATTTTTCTGGGATAGTACGAAAACCTCAACTAGAAGGAGGATTGAACACAACTATCAAATTGCAAGATGTCAATCTTTGTCCCATTTCACCGTATTATTCAGCATCCAACCGTACGGTACAAAATACACTACAATAAATGGCATATGGCAGTAGACATTAGATGAAAACAGGACGTTGATGATGTTTGATCGGGAGTATGTAATGAGAAAACCAAAAGAAGCACTTCTTTTCTTTTTTTCCTTGTCCAAACCAAGATAATTACAGAATATGATATGTTAATTCTCTTGTCCAAATTAAAATAATTAATGAATGTACCGTACTAAAAAGTACCCCAATTCTCTTGTCCAAATTAAAATAATTAATGAATGTACCGTACTAAAAACTAGCCCAATTCTCTTGTTCAAACCCAAATAATTACTGAATATACTATACCAAAGACTGCCCTAATTATATTGTCCAAACCCAAATAATTACTGAGTATACTGTACCAAAGACTGCCCTAATTACATCGTCCAAACCAAGATAATTACTGAATATGCTATACTAAAGACTGTCCTAATTATATTGTCCAAACCCAGATAATTACTGAATATACTATACCAAAGACTGTTCTAGTTATATTGTCCAAACCAAGATAATTACTGAATATACTATACCAAAGACTGTCCTAATTATATTGTCCAAACCAAGATAATTACTGAATATACTATACCAAAGACTGTCCTAGTTATATTGTCCAAACCAAGATAATTACTGAATATACTATACCAAAGACTGTTCTAGTTATATCGTCCAAACCAAGATAATTACTGAATATACTGTACCAAAGACTGTTCTAGTTATAT